GGTATTCATTGATGATGGGCGATTGTGAAAATACTTCAGCGTTCCAAAAAGACACGGTGAATGAGTCCGCAGTGAGGGAATGCAAACGTGAAGCGAAAAAGGCCCTTTGTGACTTTTTTTATGGCGACCATTCGGGTGAACATGACGCATCTCATTTGCACTCTATTTGTTCGCCGGATGTTGGCTCCGGAGGGGCTGTTGATCAGCAGGCACAAGAGCAAATCCTCACGTTGCGTGAAACAGGAAAACCAGCACCGCCAACAACTCCACAGGGTTTGTCAGAAGAATCGCCGGACACACCACCAACACCGGCATCTGCAGGAGCCTCCTCACAAGCACCGCCCATCCAAGCATCAACGGAACCAACAGTACTCGCAAAACAAGCAGAGCCCAACACTGCGGGCTCGGTGCCGCCGAAGCAGTCACAGGGAGGAGCAGAGGCAATGCGTCCACCTCAAGAACCTCCAAAGGTATCCAGTATACACGACACAGCTACCCAAGGGGATCCACCAACTGAGGATCGGGCGGAACAAACATTACCCCCAGCAAAAGCCAATGATAATTCCAGCGATCACAGTGAAGAGGGCACCGCGGAGGAAAGCACCGTTGATACTCCAGCATCAGGTGCTGTGCAGACAGAAGGAAACGAAAGTGAAACACCGGGCAGCGGCTTGAAGAAAACAAAAACACCGCACACTACAGTTGAAGGAAGTAACACAGTAAAGCCTGGCGACAGTGAGAGCAGCTCCACGGCTCCTCCAGCGGGAGAGTCAGACGCTGCCACAACCACAACCCCGAACAATCATGATGCGCGTAGACTCAACAACAATGGCAACAATACATTCACAGAAGAAGTGGATCAGAAGGAAGCAGCAATAAAACCCAAAAGCGCACCAGACGGCACTGACACCGCAGCAGCCAACAGTGAAGCATCCACAGCAGCCATAAACATCTCCACTAACACAACAAACAAAACAACCACCGGAGACAGTGACAGCAGCACCGCGGTCTCCCACACCACCTCCCCTCTTTTGCTTCTTCTTGTTGTTGCGTGTGCGGCTGCTGCTGCGGTGGTGGCCGCGTGAGAGTGAGTGCGAGAGAGCCGTGCGCCGCCCGCACACACACTCGTCCTTCTCTCTCTCTGTGTGTGTCCCCTTGCATGGACTCTCGCCCTCACCTCACCCCACGAGGCACACACAATAATGTGCCCATTGTATATATGCATGCACACCCATGCAGGCCCGTTGGTGCTCTCTTTTGCACGACACGCACCGCTGCCGTCCTGCCTGGCTGCATGGGCGGAGCACCGTAACTGTTTCTGTTTTGTTTCCATTGCATTGAGTGGGCGACCTCTCTCTCTCTCCCTGTGTGTGTGTTTTGCTTTACGGGAGCAATGAGAGTGTGTGTGCGCTGGTCGTCCCACGCTTCGGCTTTTTGTTTTGTTTTCCTTTTTGATTTTGTGGTTGAGTGCACCCATTCCGCGGCTGCGTGTGTGTGTGTGTGCGATGATATGAGTAATTTGCGTGTGTGCTATCTGCCTCTCTCTGCCGTTGCTTTCTTCAGACTCTCTTGTGGCGCACAGCTGCTCTGCAAGTATAGGCGCTGCCAAACACACAAGCACATGCAGACACATGCCGTGTTTAAAACGCTGAGAATGCACGCACGCACAGGATTGTGGCTGCGGAGGTTGTTCCTTGCGAGGAGGGAGTACGGGAGTATGCGATTTGCTTCGTTGACATGTTGCTGTTGTTATTTTTGCGGCGTGCAGCCAGTGAGTGGTGTGGCAGTGGGGGTGCCTGGGAAGAATGCCTATCGATTCCCGTCCAACAGCTGCACCTGCGGACGTGTCTCTCCTGCAGTAGTTTTGCCGACGGAGGATTCTCCGGCTGTGCGGGGTGATGTGCGAGTGCTTTGTAGGCAGCTGCAGAACGACTGGCGGAATTGCGTCGGTGCTGCGAAGGGCGATTGTGCCCTTTTGCATTCCACCGGTTTTTTTTTGTGTGGGCGTTGTTCGGTGTGTGCTGAAGTGTGACGAATAATGACGCACCCTCTGTCACCCCTCCTGCTGCTGGTGGTGATGACCGTCGCTGTGTGTTCCCGGTGCACTGTTCATCCTTCTTATTCCGTGTGTCTGTGTGCGTGAGTTGTTGTTGTTGGGGGTGACTGCGGTGCGGACGATGGTGCCACTCACTGTGGATGGGTGGCGGTGTTCACTGTTTCACTCCTTTTTCCTCTTCTCTCTTTCTCACACACAAAGAAAGCAAACAAGCGCTAATCGCTACTGTGAAATTCGAAGGCACTGAAAGGACCAACAGCACACACACCGCCCACACACATATTTGTATGCTCTCACGTGTTGCTGCAGTGAAGGCACCCCGCACACACAACCGTCGCCGCGTGACCGGATCCAGCGGAAGGATGAGGGAAGGAAGAGAGAGTGAGCCGCGGAGGCCCAACATGTCCCGGCGTGTGTTTGCTTCCGCGGTGCTGCTCCTCGTCGTGATGGTGTGCTGCGGCAATGGTGGAGCTGCAGCCACTGAGGACACGTCGTCAGCTTCAGGATTTTCACCGGATAAAAGTTTTGTTTGGAGAGATAAGAACGGGGGTGAAACAGTGAGTTCGTTACGTGTTCCAGTTCTTGTTGAGATGGATGGTGATGTGCTTGCTGTTGCCGAGGCGCAGTTGAAGGAGGGAGAAAGCAATTTTACTGGGATTGCCTCGGAGCTTCTGGAGTGGACATATGAAGAATCAAAAGGGGAGTTGGATGCAACTAAACTGAAGACACAAGTGCTGGAGGAATGTCCATCCGACAAAAAGAATTGTGCCTCCCATTCAGAAGCTCAAGATGCTTCCCAAAGCTGGACAAAAGTACGTGTGAGCCGACCAACAACAGTTGTGAAGGGAAGTGATATTTACATGCTCGCTGGAACCTACAGTTTTGAAGTTACTGAAGGCGCTGCTGGTAGCAAAGCTGCAGCAGCTAAATGGGAGCTTTTGGTGGCTGTGGGAAACGTCAGTAACGATGAGAGCAGCGGTAAAAAAAAAATTTGTTGGAAAGACACCTCCGTTATCCCGTGGACTGGTTTTGAAACAGAACACGAGTCATTGACAGGGCTGATTGGCGGCGGTGGATCGGGTATTCAGATGGAGGACGGCACGCTTGTGTTTCCCGTGGAAGGCACGAAGAATGGAAAGAACGTTTCGCTGATATACTCCTCAGCCACTGAGAATTGGAAGCTGTCGAAGGGGATGTCTGCCGATGGCTGCAGTGATCCCTCCGTCGTGGAGTGGAAGAAGGACAAACTCATGATGATGACTGCGTGTGATGATGGCCGCCGTAGGGTGTACGAGTCCGGTGACAAGGGGGATTCGTGGACGGAGGCACTCGGGACACTCTCGCGTGTGTGGGGCAACAAAAAGGGCGTTAGAAGCGGGTTCATCACAGCGAAGATTGACAACAGGAATGTGATGCTCGTCACTCTGCCGGTGTATGCCAAAAAAGAAGAAAAGGAAAGTGTGGAAAAGGGTGAACTCCATCTTTGGCTGACGGACAATACGCACATTGCTGATATCGGGCCGGCATCTGTGGAAGGAGACGATGTTGCCGCCAGCTCCCTGTTGTACAAAAGCGGTAAAAGTGAAACGAATGGGAAGGAGGAGTTGATTGCACTGTACGAGAAGAAGAAAGGCGGTGGGGATACACCATCACCCGGTATGGTCTCTGTGCGTCTGACTGCGCAGCTGAATCGGGTGAAGGAGGTGCTGACGACCTGGAATGAAGTGGACAAACGTGTCTCCCAGCTGTGCGCCAATTCACTTGCTCAGAAGGATCTCTTAACTGACACTGCCTGCAGCGCTGATAAGATCACGGCTGGGCTGGTTGGCTTTTTGTCCGGCAACTTCTCTGATAACACATGGAGGGACGAGTACCTCGGGGTGGACGCCACAGTAAAGAACGGTGCAGCAGAGGCAATATTGCATGGCGGCGGCGTGAAGTTCCATGGAGCGTGGGCGGAGTGGCCCGTTGGCAAGCAAGGGCAGAATCAGCTGTACCACTTTGCGAACTACAACTTCACTCTTTTGGCGACGGTGTCCATCGACAAGGTGCCGAAGGGAGATACTCCCATTCCTTTGATGGGTGTGAAGAAGATGAATGGTGGTAAGACTGTGCTCCTGGGACTGTCGTACAACAACAAAGAAAAGAAGTGGCAGCTGCAGTGCGGTGGCGGAACGAAGTCGGAAGGGCTTAGCAGCAATTGGGAGCCAGGGAAAACAAAACGCCACGTGGTAATTTTGCAACGGAACGGCAACCAGGGCACCGCGTACGTCGATGGTCAGCGTGTGGGTGTGGGTGCGTCGTGTGCATTGGGAGGTACGGAATCCCAAGAGATCTCACACTTCTACATTGGAGGGGATGGAGAGAACACAGCGGGTGACGAAGACGTGTCTGTGACGGTGACGAACGTCCTGCTGTACAACCGCCCGTTGGATGAAGCAGTGATTACTGCGCTTCACACGGAAAGCGTTACTATTCCAAAGCTGGATCATGCAAAACCAGAGCCGAGGGGTACTCCGTCTACTCCTGCCGGGCAACAGCCGTCGGAATTGGGGCATTTGGTGGGAAGCAGTAAAGTTGCGAGTGGTGGTGTGGAGGGGGCCGATCCACAGATCAGGGGAGTAAATGCCACGGCACTCAGCAGCAGCCTCGTAAATGTGTCGCAAGAAAATAACAGCGATGCCGGCACCATGCGTGGGAGCGGACTGCTGCCATCGCTGCTTCTGCTGTTGGGACTGTGGGGGCTTGCGGCCCAGTGAGGCGTGACTGGCTGCCGCGTGGGACAATTGCGACCTTCCGAGCACAGAATTACTTCCAAGAACTAACTTTTTCCTTAAGATAATTTCTTTTTCTTTTTTTGGAAATGTTTGCTTTGCTTCTGAGCGTTTTTTTGTTTTTGTTTTTAATTTTTTACTGTTTTTTTTTTTTTCATTTTTTTTTTTTCACCCCCCATCCTTCTTTTTTTGCTTTTGGGGCAATCACTATGGACGTTTTTTCTTTTCTACTCTTCCCTCTTTAATTGTTTCTTCCGCACTCTTCCTGCGAGGGGTGCCGTGTGTTTCCCGCCCAACTGCTCCACTCGCACGCCACCGACACGCTCATGACGACGGCCCTGTGCGCCTCGCCTGCTGCACGCATGAGGCGGGGCCGCGACGAACGGCGCGCTGAGGGAGCCGTGACTTGTGGGCGTGCGACGAGGGCCTGTGGGGCGGAGCACACATTTCTTTCCCTCTTGTTTTGTTTTCTTGCGGTCAGGGCTGGCAGACACCCGCAGCGCCACACACACAGCCACGCCCTGCCGCCGTGTTTTTTTTATTTTTGCTTGTTCTCTTTTATTTTGTTTTTTTTTGTTTATTTCACGCGCCGGCAGTCCCGTCAGCATTTCTTTCCCTCCTGATGATTTCTTTTCTTTTGCTGCGCTCACTCTTCCGATGGAGTGACGCGACTCCCGTCATGTCTGCGTGCTTCTCTCAGTCCCCACACACACGAGTGACTGTGCTCTGCGGGCCGCACTCGCACGCCGATGAGAGGGCTGAGGGGAGCAGCAACACGCAGATGACCCCATGAAATATAAACGATGTGCGGACACACGGAGGTCGGGCGGCTGAAAGACATTTAAATATCTAATTTTTAATTTTCTTTTTTGGGCAAAATATACAGACAGTTTGGTGTGGCCACACGGCAAGCAGTTGTTTAAATGTTATTTTTGTGGAACAGTAATGGACGATTTCTTTTTATTTGTAATTATTTTGTGTGATGGGGTTTATATAAGACGAGGGGGAAAGCTTTTTTTGTTTTAAATAAATCTTGTGTGAGTTGCCGCTGCTTGGGCTGCACTGCAGTCATGTGTTTGAGCGTTCTTCTTGTTGTTGTTTCCGCCATGCGTCTCTGCTGTACATTTTTGTGCGTCCCTCCACATACTCTGCTCCCTTTTCTACTTCTTTGCTTTGTGTTTCAGCAGGCACACACAACACACACACAAGATGCACATTGCAGTGGATTTGGATGCTTCTTTTGCAGTGCATGCTGGCAGCTGCGTGTGGCTGTTGTCTTCTTCCGTGGCCATGAGGAGGGAGGAGAGGGAGTGCGCAGTCCGAGTCTCTTTTCCTGCGGGTGTGATGCACCGCGTGTGACTGCGTTGAGTTGGGCTCCGTGTCCCACTGATGGCGGGATGGCAGGAAATTTTGTTGCCGCGTCATGGATGGATGAGGGTGCACTGTCGCGTGTGGCCGTTGTGGTGGGTGCTCGTGCTGCTGCTACTCGTCCGTGTGCGTTACGACTGCTGGGAGTCCTGGAGATTTATCTGGTGATGCGGACGCGGTGGTTGTGCCGGTGGATGTGTCGTGTGCTCCGAGTGACGGCAGCCTGAGCTATCGTGTGTGCGTGTGTGTGGAGGAATTGTTCTGCTGCCAGTGCCGAGGCTGAGTGTGAGAATTATACTTTCAGTGGCTTTGGTGTGCGCATGCGTGGCAGGAATGGTGAGCTGGGTGCTGTGTGCCATGTGGCCAGTGCTGTGCACACATGTGGCAACCGTGCTGCCAGCTGTGCAACGAAGGAGGAAGGGGCCACCGTTGCCTTCACGATGAATGTGACGACACATAAATACGCCGGCCCTTATGAGTTGTGGTGGCATCAATTTCCCCCGATGGAGCCATCCATCCGCCTGCACGGAGCGGCGATGTTGACTGGACGGGCATCTGTCAGTTGCTGCCACCCCGTGAAGGGAAAGATGACACGAAATCTGGTGGGACAACTGCACCGCAAGTGAATGCTGAGCCGTCACGTCAACACGAGGATTGGCGACAGTCTGCGGCGGCTGACGCACCCAACACCGTCGATCCGAGTCCCACATCCAACACGGCGACCAACACGTCCGAGACGAGGCCTGAGTTTGCCAGCAATCCGAACGAAATGATGGTCCCGAATGCATCCAAGAAGAGGCCTTCCTTTGCCAAAGGCCCGAGAATATTAGTGGCGTCGAATGCATCCGGGATCATGTCTGTCACTTATGGCGGCAGGGAACACGTTGCTGCGGATAACACGGACGAGGTGAATGAGCGCAGCGCCACTGGACACAAATCCCTCGTTTTAGAAAATGGCGTTGCAGGCAGTGGATTTGTTGCTGAGGGTGATGCGGACGGATTGAGTCAACGCAATGCCTCTGGACATGATAACAAACCCCAATTACGAGAATTCACCGTGCAGTAATCCGGAAACGGTGTGAGCCTACACGACTGCTTTGCCCTGCGCAACGACGCGAAATTGACACTGCGAGAGTTAACTGCTGACGGCACTGTGCGTGCGTGTGTGTGTTGGGAGTGGCTGCTTCTTTTGGGATTGTGTGGATTTGCGACTCAGCACGGAGGACATGTGCCGCGTTTCCTGCGTGTTTTCTTTCATTATTTACATTTTACTGTTGGTTTTCGTTGTTCTCCTGGAATAATGAGCGTCCTTTATTATTTCATGGTCGGTTGCTGCACACCGTCATGAGTGACATGTTTCCCCCTCTTTTTGTTTGTTGCCCACACGCGGTGCCGGCCTCATTGCTGTGCGTCCCACGGACTGCGCGAAACGATGAGTGGAATAACAGGCCGGATGCCGCATGAAATGTGAGGGATGTTGTGTGGGCTCATGGAACGATACGTTTTTTAAAGTTTTATTTCTTGGTGCGGGCAATATATGTATGCACAGCCACACGATCCTCTTCTGTGCTGCATGGCACATGAAATAAAAGTATTGTCCGATTGATTTTTTTTGTTTTAATTTTACGGGAGTTTTGCCTGACTCTCAACTCTTTTGTTTTTCTTTTTTTGCTGCTGTGTTTTTTTTCTTGCTTGTTTAACTTCTGGTCTGAGGGACGGTGTGCGAGTCCTGCAGTTGTAATGATTCCGTCTGTCTTTTTTGGTGCGCGCTTCTTCTGGCTGCTGCCATTTATTACCATGCGGTGGCTGTCCGTGGTGTAGCTGCTGTCTCTCTACTTCCTTTCTCATGCTCCTGCGGATCGAATCCAAGTTATTCAACAGCGATAGTTTCGATGATGCGCCGTGTGTTCTGTGTCGTGTTGGCGCTTACACTGCTGTGCTGCTGCTTGTGCGTGTTTGCCGCGGAGGAGGAAGTGGAGGAGGAGGTGCTGCCGGTGGATGCGGTGTGTGCGGGTGACGGTGAAAACGTTGGGCGCTGGCAACTCCGTGGGAGGCCACTGTGGTACAACTGCACGGCTGAAGCTAGCGGTTTGGGAAAGATGATTTGCGGCATGGGCGCTGGAAACTGTGCCCCGGAGGATGTTAAAAAACGTGTTGAAGGGAATGCGAAGGATGGCGTCTTCGAGATCAAATTCCATACGCCCACTCCAGGCCGGGTGAAGAGTTGGTGGGAGAGTAACGTGGAGCCGAAGCCGGCCACCGCTGCAAGTGGTCCGGCCAAACCTGCGGAAGAAAGACCTCCGGTGGATCGAGAGGAGGAGGCTCCTCGTGACACCACCACAATAAGTTCAGGATCTTCTCCCGCTGGCGTTGGGGGTTCCGCTGGTGCCCTTTCTTTGCCACCTACAACTCCGCGTGACGCTGGTGCTAACGCTGCTGCTGGCGCTGCGGGCAAGACGGATCCTTCTCCTCCTGCGACTTTGCAAGCGCAGAATCCCGCTCCCTCTGGTGAACTTCAAGGCGCTGCACATTCTGCTTCTGCTGCATCCAAATCCCCACCAGATCCGGAGCCCACAGAGAGCGGGGAACACTCCTCCCATGACCCTCCAGCGGGACGACAGGAAGAGACTGTTGATGCGCCACCGACTCGGTTGTCCCAGACCGGCGAGGACGGTGGCGCAGCGGAAGGCGCCGAAGAGGACACCGCCGACACCACCGACGCCGCCACCAGCGAAGGCAATGCTACGGCGGCAGGCATGCCGGCTCCCCTTTCCTCTGCGCCCACAACGAAGGCGTTGGAGAACAGTGCGGGAAATGACGCCTGCTTCCACGACCCCCGTCTGCATACCCGGCTGCTGCTTGTTTTGGCTGCGCTCACGTACGGGACACTGGGCTGAAGAATTGAATGCGTGCTATAATTGCCAGCACTCAATCACAGGAATCCGTGCGTTTCTTTTTGTTTTTACGTAATAAATAATAGAAAATAATGAACATTTGTTTTGCTTCATTTGCTTCAGCTGTGCTGCTGTGTGCCTCATTTTGCTGCTCCCTATACCCGTCACGTTGAAGGAATCCCAGACACACTCATATGCACGACACGTCCAGTACTGTTTGCGTGGACGCATGTCTGAGGATGGGTGCATGCACACTGGATCCATTTGTTGCGGCTTCTTTTTTTTCGTGTTCTTATATTTTTAATTTCCTTCTTCTTGCTTGCTGTTCTTTTTGCTTTTAGCTTGCCGCGGGACGTTGTGTGTGTTCTTTAATGATTTAAATTTCTTAATTTTTTCTTTTGTTTTTTTCTTTCATCCCTCTTTTTTGCTTTTGGGGGCAATCACGATGGAAGTTTTTTTTTTCTACTCTTCCCTCTTTAATTGTTTGTTGCTGCGCTCTTCCCGTGAGGGGTGCCGTGTGTTTGCCACCCAACTGCTCCACTCGCACACCCACCGACACGCTCATGACGACGGCCCTGTGCGCCTCGCCTGCTGCACGCATGAGGAGGGGCCGCGACGAACGGCGCGCTGAGGGAGCCGTGACGTGTGGGCGTGCGACGAGAGCCTGTGGGGCGGAGCACAAATTTCTTTCCCTCTTGTTTTGTTTTTGTTTTGCGGCCAGGG